GTAAGCCTTCACCTGAAGTACAATAAAATAAAATAAAAAAAAAAAACAAAAATAAGTTGCCTAAGGTCACCAGATAGTAAATGGCAGAGCCAGAACTTAAAAACAGGCTCCAAAATCTTTACACTATGTATCCTGACTCATTTTCTTTGTTCAGTATGATTCATTCATTCAGCTAATGTGTATCATCTTCTGAACCAGGCCAGAACTCCCTGAGACAAGTAGGTTTGCCTAGTGAAATAGTCTAAAGTAGAGTTAATGAAGAAGGTCATAGAAGTCATAGTCCTCACAGCCTTGCGGGCAGGGATGTGGAGAAGGAGGAAAATAGGATGACTTTAAGGCTTCTGGCTTCAGGAATGATTATGATGCATTTAACCAACATCATGAATCAGGAGAAGGGGTGGGCTTGGTGAGGAAGATAAGAGGTTCTATTGCTGAGTTTGAGGTACCCATTACATCCATGTGGTAGAGCCATCCAAAGGCAGGATAACAAATTAGTTAACCAGTTGCCATCGAGTCAATTCTGACTTATGGAGACCTCTTGTGTGTCAAAGTAGAACTGTGCTCATAGGTCTTCCAATGGCTGATTTTTCAGAAGTAGATTGCCACGCCTTTCTTCCAAGGTGCCTCTGGATGGACTTGAATCTCCAACCTTTTGGTTAGCAGCTGAGGACGTTAACCATTTACACCACTCAAGGAGGGTAGCAGTGATTAAAATTATAGTCTTTGGTGTCAACTTTCCCTGGCCTTGAATGTCAACTCTACCACTTAGAGCTGTGTGCTTTTGGTCAAGTTAATTTACCCCTCTGAGTCTTAGGTTCTCATGTGTAAAATATGAATAACAATACTTACCTCAAACAGTTGTCGGGAGGATAAAAATAAGAAATCCATATAAAAATGCCAATATGATGCCTGGCGCTCAATGAATGGTATTTTATTACTAATAAATCAGATGATTTCAATAAATACGGCAACAGAGTGGAAAATATCTGGGCTGGAGGATAGTTTTAGAAATAATTGGTGTATGAGCAGTGGCTGAAGGCATAAGAATCAATGAGATTGGCAGGTATACAGCACAAGGATCACAAACTCAAATGCCTCAGGGCCAGGCAGCAAATGAGTGAAGAGAATTGGTGTAAGCACATTTGTACATTGTACTAGTGGTGGAAATACTGGGGAAATGGAGAGTATACAGGCTGTCTTAAAGAGGACAGCTGCTACTCAGATTGAGATGGTTGTTGCCATGCCAAAAGATCTGTTGCCATGCAACAGATCTCCTGGTTTTTCCAAGGAAGCCTGAAATATCCAAACATGTAAATGTCAGGAACTAAATTCAACCTCACAAACAAATAAAACACACACATAAGCCATGTTGTACCCTGTTGGCTGCCAGGTTGTGGCCTCTAATGTAGAGAAAGAAGAGGGCTGAGGGTGAATTCCTGAGGAACACCAGCATTAAAGCGCTGCATAGAGGAAGAGAAGGGGTGGAGCAGGCCAAGAAAGGCAGAGAGCAGACAGCAAGGGAGAGGACTGGAAAAGAATGCGGTCAAAGAAGCCAGAGAAGAGGAGCGTTTCAAGAAGGAGAGACTCATCAACAGTATCAAAGGTGACACAGAGATCACTGTGGCCAAACTATACCACACAAGCCCGTTAAGAGTTTTGGCTCCTTCTCGAGGCTGCAAATGCAACTACCACTAAGGAGAGGGGACTGAATACTCAAATCATTACCCCAGGGTAAGAAATGGGCAAGAAGCCCTTAGGGAAAGAAAAGCAGGGCAGGGTAGAATTTTATTTAGATCAGTCTCTTGAACAATGGCCCTGGGGACTTCCAGTGAATGTCTTATCAAAAGTGAAAATGGACTTTGCCATCCTTCCTCTGGACGTGGCTCTGATGGCTAAAATTGCAGGCAGGAGGCAAACCAGAAAGCCTGTCCTGTTCTTCCCTTTTCACTCATGCTAATATCAGAATGCGGAGAAGAGAAGGATAAATAAAAACTCCAACACTAACCAGCAGTGAATTCCAAGATCTTTTATTCATTTCCATGTAAATATCAATATTATTATTAGCTATATTATTAACATCAATATTAATACTCTCTGAGAACCAGGAAAGCACTAAGTACAAAATTATGGCTTAGAATTAGGGGACCTGCCCAATATGCTTAAAAACAAATCAGGATTTGGACCAAGGTTGTATTCCCATTAGCTGTTCTCTAAATAAAAATCACTAAGTAGTAACTGCTCTCGAAGGAATCACCAAGAAGTCTGAGGGAAGATGTTAGCTTGTCAGAGAAAAAAAAAATCCCATATAGTAAAAAGAGAAACTTGTACCTCTTGACTCATGGCAACCAGTACACAGAAACTTAATAGGTGAATTCACAGCCAGCCCTATGAGCATAAGATTCCAAAATGTCAGAGGCTTAAAGATCCTCTCATTTAATGAGTGGAAACTGGGATCCAGAAAAGGGAAAATATGTGCCCTAGGTGACTTGGCTAGTTTGTGACTGAGTCAAAATTAGAACTCAGATCTCCTGCCTTCTTTCTCAGTTCTCTTTCTATACAACTATGCCGTGTCCAAAAAAGAGTTAATTATCCCTTTGGAGGACATGACTTAAAGGAAATCTGACACCGAACGTGCATCCTTTGATGGGCTGGAAGGTGGGGAAGAGGGGCTGGTGCATGGCAGAAACATCCCTGTGTGGCTGAAGGAGGTCAGCATGAGAAGAGAGGCCAAATACACTCAAAGGGTGTGGGTGCCCGTGAGGTGGGGCCATGGTGCCGAAGACAAACTTAACCCACAGAACAGTTATGCTTAGACCTGGCATGGGCACATCCATGAGAAAAATGGACAGAAATTCCAATCTTAAAAAAGTAAACACACATTTTCTTAAATATTACCTACAGTCATAAACCTTAACTTATTCAGATATCACTCATTGAGTAACTTCAATTCTGTAGAATACAGTCAATAGTCAACAACAAAGAAGTAAACAACTACAAACACACTCACTCACACACACACACACACACACACACACACATAAATTCTCTGAGTTGCCAAGACAGACATCACAAAGTTCTTGCTCAGAATAATCGACGTAAAGCATCTAGCTCAGTGCCAAGGCATAGGCCCTCCATAAATGTTTAGCTATTATTATTAATATTCGAGTGTCTTGGTAGCCACCCAAAGCTTGGCTGTGTGTACATTACACACGATATTTTTTTATTTAGCTTCTTTTAATTCAGCATTTTTTTTTTTAGCTTCTCTCCATAATGGATAAAATAGAAGGATGGGGATATAGTTGGGGGTGGACACTTAAGAGGAGATAGAGAAACTGTCTCAGGCCAACAAAAAATCCAAATGTAATTGGGGCCATTTAGTTTAAGGGCAAACAGCCCCCTACCTTTCTGTAGATCCTGGAGACATCACTGTATTGCAGCATAGCACGATAACTATGATGACACAGAATCAGAAAGATTCAGCTATGTGTTATGCACTCTATTTCAAAGGATAGGGAAGTATCTGCTGCAATTAGAACAGTTTTTTTATCAATAAGTTTTAATTTATAAGTTTTGGCACATATAGAACTTATAAATCATCATAAAATCTGAGTTATGAAAAAATCGCATTCATCAATAATACCATAAATATGATTTGTTGTTGTTGTTATTAGTTACTGTCAGATTGATTCCAACTCATGGTTATCCCATGTGTGCAGAGTAGAACTGCTCCGTAGAGTTTTCAAGGCTGTGACCTTTTGGAAGCAGATCACCAGGCCTGTCTTCCAAGGCATTTCCGCGTGGGTTTGAACCACCAACCCTTCAGCTAGTAGTTGAGCACTTAACCGTTTGCACCACCCAGGTACTCCATAAATATGATACACTGTATCAAATTAGGGGGGAGACATTTAAGCTAAGTGTAAGGGAATCCTATTCCCTGAGGCCTTAGTATTGGCTGATTACCACTAGTTGCCAACAAGTTGATTCCTACTTATGGCAACCCCATGTGTGTCAGAGTAGGATTGTGATCCACAGGATTTTCAATAGCTGATTTTTGGGGGGAAGTAGATCACCAGACCTTTCTTTCAAGGCACCACTGGGTGGACTTGAACCTCCAACCTTTCAGTTTAGCAACCAAGCATGTTAACTGCTTGTACCACCCAGGTACTCCTACAGGCTAATTATAGGTCCTCTATTTTCAGTTATCAATGTGAGATCAGATGTCGTATTATAGCATCTCTAGACAGAAGTACTTTTCCCGAGGTATAGTAGCTTCTTAGTGCCTTTTGATATAAAGTTGCATTTGATAATAGAATCACATCAGTTTTTGAAAATAGCCTTGAAAACCCTATGGAGCAGCTCTGTTCTACATATATGGAATTGCCATGAGTCAGAATCGACCGGATGGAAACTGACAACAACAACAGCAATGCGGTATATGTGTACAAGGCATGATGCTATATGTGTGTTATCTCAGCATACACAGGATGATGAGTATGTGTTGCTTTGCCTATCTCTAGTAAGGAATGCATTTTCCTCCCCAACTACTTGCTTAAAATTTCTATTGCCTTTTACCATGAGAGGTCCAGTATCACTGCTATCCTGTGTGATAAAGATAAACTTGCAATAAGTTATCTCTCTCCCTGTTTAGAAAAATCTCTCTTGATTTTCCCTAAGTCACTAATTAGGCTTTACACGGCATCACATCTGATGGTTCTTTGAGGGGGAAGTTTCTATTAAGAAAGTTTGGAAGTCGGGACAGCAGAGTAGTAAAGGAAAAAAAAAAGAAAAACGCACAGCACAGAGTATTCCTTAGACAGGTATCTTCATCAAGTCCTGACAGCTGTTCACAAGTTGATTTTCCTTTTGAACTCTGCCAAACGGAGAGGTATTTAGACAAAAGCAAACTGAGACCAGTTAACCCTGAGAGGCAGCTTTGGCTGCCAGGGTCTTGTCCACACCACCTTTGGCAGATTCATAAATGCCCTTCTTGCTCCTCTTCATTTTGACAAGGTCAAATATTGAATTTCAGTCAATGGCCGTCAAGTGCCTTTTCCAATGAAGTGAGTTGATTATGATGATTTCCTGACCAATGAAAACAATGTGCTTTGAGGAAGAGGCACTTATTTCCTCAATCCCACAAAGGTGCCTAATGGGGTCCAGGCAGTCATGGGGAGAAGGGCAAGGTGATTTAAACGATATTAGGATAAATAAGGTTAATTGATATGCAAAAGAAGTTTTAAATATCCCTGAGGAGAAGGTGTCATCTGCTTCTGGTCACATCTCATGTGGCCATGGGGGTGCTGGGCTGGGGCATCTCCTCCACTCACAAGGAAGATCAGTCTCCTGTCCAGTCCCAGCTTGGCTTCATGCTGGTGCTTGGCCTAGGTGCCGCCATCAGATCCTCACTGGACACAGAATTCACCAGGATTTTGATGGATGAGAATCAGTTCCCCACCATTCACCTGGATGTCTTCACAGGAGGTATTATGAGTGCTCACATTCAAGTATACTTTGTCTTTGAAAGCCAGATAGGCCACTGTGACAGTGTTGATAGACCTGACTTTAGTCAGGGAGAGGAGGGGCTCCCAGCCCTTCCGGTATAAAAGGGTGAGGCTGACCTCCTGGGAGAAGTAGCCCTTCAAGGAGATGAGATAAAACCCATCACAGCTGATGATGATGGAGTTGTCTTGCACCTTCATGGTTTCCTGGTTGTTTGGGGATGTGAGGATGAAACCTTTCTTGTTCTCACACCCTGGGGAGGGGAGGGGGCAAGAAGAAAAAAAGAATGATTCCTAAGCACAGCGCTGGGAAGCAACCTTCCAATATGACTAGTCACATGAGAAGAAAGTGACAGGGAAAGATATTGAGAAGAGAAAAAGCAAGAGAGCACTGTGTTTCTACATGTGGAATGGAAGAGGAAGAAAAGCTGAGACTTCTTGTGGGCAAGGGAATCTCAGATGGGGCTGGGTTGGGAGCTAAATGATTACAGCAATTGTCACAACAGGCAGGAAACAGAGCTTGGAGGTTTCCCTGGGTTTTTTAGAACCAGAAGGTGTTGGCAACATCAGCACTTCCTTTCTTCCTCAGTGTATGGACTAGGACAAAGAGCAGCAAGGATGTCCCTTGTCCTGGGTCTGCACGTCACCGCTACTCAGAAGCTTGAATCAAAGCAATTGTTCTTACCTATTCTCTATCCTCCCTCCACTTGGCCCTGGAATGAAAATCTTTCACATGTCCTGGACACTGGACTTACAAACAGCATTTACTACTGGCCTTGACCAGCAGTCACTTAAGCCTAATAATACAGCTGTGCATTTCAGAACACCTATGAACTCAGGGTGGACTCAACAAAATGCAGATGGAGGAGCTAAAGGAAGCAGACTTGCTGTTCACGTCTACCTCCTTACTGCTAGTGTGTGCGTGTGTGTGTGTGTGTGTGTGTGTGCGTGTGTGTGTGTATGTGTTTCTTAGGTAACTTGGGAAGAGTCACTACTATAGGAGAAAGAAAAGGAGGAGGAGGAGGCAGAGTAATGGCTTTGATAGATTTGTGTGGAGCCAGTTCAATTTAAGTATAAGCCAGAAGCTTACATTTCTTTTCTATATCAGCCCCAACATTATTCTGAATGCCCAAGCAACCACATCTTGGATGCCCTGCTTTGGTCCATTTCTCTTAGTGATGGGAAAAAATAGGTCCCCATTGCTGGCTAGAATTCAATAATTCTTGCTTTGTACCAAGCCCTGAGGGCATACTTTGAATTAAAAACAAGGACCAGTTATGGAGAGCAGGATATACTTCACTTCAGGCTCAGGAGGACTTGATAAACATATAAATATTCGGATAGAAATCACCAGTGGTTGTCGTAGTATGATCATAGATCCAGATAATGCTCTCCTGGTAGGTAAAGTATCAAATTGCCTTCATATCTGGAGCCTCCCCCTCCCCACATGAAGGTATGATTTGTCTGAGAATAGAATTATCAGGAAATGATGCGTCAGACAGATCTGTAGGAAGTAAAACCTTTGTTTTCTTACCTGAAAAATGAGAATAATTCCTATCTCAAAATGTTCCTAGGGAAATTAAGTGAGGCATATAAGGTAATTAGCACAGTGACCAGGGCATATTCGGTGCCTAATTAATCTCCTTTTCTTCTTTATCCTGCCCTCTTTGTCTCTGATGAAAATAATGAGGTGGGCTCCAACAATTCCAGAATATATTGCTTCCACAAGGGAAGGGAGAGAGTTTGTACTCTGGAGGAAAGTAAGAGGCTGAAGAGAAGAGTCTTTTAAAAACATGAATCAGTTAAACTTTGACAATACTTACTGGTAAATTGTACTCTGATACTTTGAATTGGAGGATACTGAGGTGGCACCTGAGGGAGAAAAAAAAAAAAAAAACATTTTTAGGAAAAATGAACAAATGGAGTTGGCAAGTCATATCCAATGAAGCAGAAATGCAGTGGCCCGTAGACAGAAACTCCAAAAGAGTTTTGCACTAAACAAGAACTTGACAAAAGACAACTTTTTCTATGAAGTTTAGACCCACACTTCCCAGCCACCCATCTTTCTTTTCTATAACATCTCTTAAGAGTTAAGACTATTCTGCTCCTTTACACAAGCATCTGAGATCTGTCCTCAGTTCTGCCAGACAGTATATCCTTTGGTATACTGTTTTGACTCACTGAATCCCAATTTCCCATATTGGAATAAGAGAGCACTTAACAGTCATCTTGTTAAGAAACCCATTCAGTCATAGAAATCTCCTCATGAAGAAGGTTGTGACCAATCAATCTGTCATGGCCACAGACTCCCAGAATGCACTGGGAGTGAATTCCAGAAGCTTTCTTGTTACCTGCTTATTTACTGTAATACAGGAGTAAAGAGGTCCTATTTTCAGGGGACACAGGCAATAAAAACTGGTCTAGTCCTTAAGAGTACACTATATTTGCGTGTAGCTTTTCTTAATGTGGGGTTTTTCCCTTCTCTTCAATGGCTTGGAAAATCCAATTTGAAGCAAGTGAGTACTCAGCAGCAAGAAAGGAAGTAAAACAAAGAGAAGTCCAGTAGGTAAAATGCCTGCAGAAATGTGATTAAAATAACAAAGAAGTTCAATATGGAGCAAACACCAAGATATACTAAGTGAAAACAAAGCAAAGGGCAAAATCATGTGTACAGTGTATTCCCATTTAAGTTAAAAAATGGCAATAATGCTTGTATGGGTATTGAACGTATCTGAAAGAATACATGAGAAACTGGTCACAAAAGTTGCCTCTGGACAGGAATTAGAACCCTGACATCAGGAGTGAGAGACCCTTACTTTTCACTGTCTACTTTTTTATGTTTAAAAAATGTTGTGCCATATATTTATATTGCATACTAAAAAAAGAAATAGAAAAAAAAATGCCTATTGTGCCTGCCAAGACAGCAGTCCTTCCCCCGGGGTTATTTCTGGCAAGCTGTCCTGATGAAAGGTGTGGTAAGGGATTTGTTTTCATACCCTAGAAAGTGGAATCCCTGCTTCCCACTCTCCTGGCACACTAACTAGTAGCAAGAGGATTCCATTGGCGACTGCCCACACAGATGGGGAAACCCCTACTTCCCTTATAAGTCTAGTCAAAGCCTTACCAAGCTGAAACCAACAGGCAGCGTAGGAAGAAAGGAGGGCAGTTCTGAAGCCAGCACTTGGACAGATATGTTGACTTGGGTAGAAATGGGAAGTCTTTAGCTCCCTCCCCTCTGTAAACTGTTTGTGTCAGCTGAATTAGTGTTCTTTACGCTTAAGGCAATGTTCTGGAGAAAGACCTCTCAGAAGGCATATTACCCTACCACCATAATCCTCTGGGTAAATAAATGACCCCTTAACTCTGGGTCACCATGAATCGCCACCTTGTTGAATTCAGAAGCAGCCTGTGGGGTAGCACAGGGCTCAGCATCCAGCAACCTGGGTTTGAATACAAGGCAGTCAGGTACAGTGTATTCTAGGCAAGTTACAAAACCTCTTTTGACTTCAGTTTTCTTAACTTTAAAAATTACTACAAGATCTTGGGCATCGCTTTCAGCATTAACTTTCCATGATTTGGATTTTGTAAGTTGCATCTTGCCACCCCCCATCTGTCAGTTTGTTGTATTGTGGTGATTTGTGTGTTGCTATGATGCTGGAAACTATGCCACCAGTATATCAGATACCAGCAGGGTCACCCATGGTGGACAAGTTTCAGCAAAGCTTCCAGACTAAAACAGACTAAGAAGAAAGTCCTGGTGATCCACTTCCAAAAATTAGCCAGTGAAAATCTATGGATTACAACAAACTATTGTCAGATATAGTGCTGGAAGATGAGCCTCCTAGTTTGGAAGGCACTATACAACAGACGCCGACAAGGGACTCGAGCACACCAGTGATCATCAAGATGACGCAGAACTGGGCAATATTTTGTTCTATTATCCACAAGGCCACCATGAGTCAGAGCTGACTCAATAGCGACTAACAAGTTGCAACTTTGAGTCAATTTTAATAAAAGAGAAAAGCAGGAATCCTTCCTTATCCCCAAATTTACTTCAGGCTCCCTGACCGACAAAATCCTTGTGATTATTTGATTGGCTTTACAAAAATCTCCAAAAAGTTCCTGAAAATTAAAAAAAATTCCCAACTTTCTGAAATGCCCTGATAAAGTAGGGGCGGTAGTGACCAAGCTGACATCCTCTGAGACCAAGATGTTGAGAGGCAGAAAGGAACAGCACATGTGACCTCCTCTCTTGGACTGGTCTACTGGAATTTCAGACTCAGGCCTCTTTGTTCCTTTTCCTGAAGGTCACCCAGGGGTCAAAATTTGCATATTCTCAGAAGTCTCTCAGTAGCATCAGTGCTGTTAAATCAAGGCAACGTTGTAAAGTAGAAAAAGACGGTCCTTTCTCTTGCTCCCTGCCCTTCCGCCATTTCCCCCCTCGCCCTCCACACCTGGTTACCTCATGCTGACTACCCACTGCCCAGAAACAAACACTCCCACAGTGCCCAATTCAAAGCCTTCATGGTTTGGCTCCAAAATCTTTGTCAAGCTTTATAGTCATACATATTCTTTCCATGTTTTATGATCTAGCCAATCATTTGCTCTCATTTCCTTGTCTTTGGATAGAGAGCTTGGCAGGATGGGACAAACAGCATAGGCTCTGGAGTCAGATTCAGTTCAAATTCTGACTTCTCTGGTTTTGTGAATTTAGAAATGTTACATACCATTTCTGAGCTTTAGTTTTTTTATTTGTGAAAATAAGGCATAATAGGTACCTTCACTGGAGTCTCCCAGGAGATGACTGTGATGTTTAAGGAGAATAACACATGTGAAAGCAGCTTGCCTGGCACAGAGTAAACATTCAAAACTGCTTGCTTCTTTTGTTGTCTCCACCAAGAATGTTCTATCTATCTCTGCCGATCAAATTCTTACTACTTCCCAGGCCTAAATCACATCCCTGATTTTTGACGTCTGTACTCCCATAAAAAGTATTTTGAATAAGTCTAATGGCATTTACCCCCTACTGATTTATAATACATCCATTGGATACATGCCTCATCTCCTCCACCAGCCTACTTAGCTGTGCAGCCTTGGAAAAGCTACATTACCTTGCTAATCTTCAGTCTCCTTATATGAAAAATGGAGATAACAAAAATCTATATCTCTGAGAGATATTGTGAGGATTGAATGAGATAATGTATGTGAATTTTAAGCACCCAGTCTGGGACTTTGTTGATTTAATGTCAGCTATTATTCTTGTATGTACATGGAAGACAAGATCCTTGTGATGTTCATAATTTATTCTATGTAACATTATATACCACCAACTATCTGTCAGTTTGTCTTACTGTGTTGGCTTGTATGTTGCTACGATGCTGAAAGCTATGCCACCGATATTTCAAATACCAGTTAAGGTCACTCATGACAGTGCATTTCAGCGAAGTTTCCAGACTAAGACAGACTAGGAAAAAAGGCCTGGAGATCTACTTCCAAAAATTAGCCAATGAAAATCCTGTGGATTACAACAAAACATTTTTGCCCAATATAGTGCTGGAGATGGTGTTGGACCATGCAACATTTTGTTCTTTTATACCCATGTCACCATGAGTTGGAGCCGACATGACAGTAAGTAAAAACAACACTATATAAGTTTTACATGTTTATAGAATGAAGAAATGAATTTTTAAAAAAAGACTAACAAAATCATCAAGCCCCTAAAATGTCAGCCCTCTAGTCTCTATGGTCCAGAAGAACAGAACCGAAGAATCTGGGCTTCATGAGAAAGATTACCAGAAAATTACCCACATGCAGAAATATGCTTTTTGTATACCAAGAAAAGCAAAATACCAAAACATAACTGAAAATGTCAAAGGCCCGGGAAGGCTTGTATGGGAGGACAAGCTATAGGATAAAGCATCTTCAATCTGCAAAGTCTGAAGAGCCCACGCATTCTCAAAAGTGAAATGGAAATTCCTCCCTTAAGTCTCTACACCAGAATCAAAGTCCACACTGAAGCTTGATAAGATGGTCTCAGAAGCATGAAAAGGTATAAAAGAAGACATCTTCTAGCTGAATCTTATATTTTACAAATAAGGAATTTGAGGTCAACAGAAGTGTAGGGATTTGACTCCTCCCCTCCACTTTAGTACATTTTTCTTTATACCACAAAAGTAATTTTTATTCTTCCACTGCAAATTTGAATTGAGGAGAAACTGCCATGAAAACTGCAGTAATGTTCCATTCCTTGTGTCCACGTCACTGCCAGTCTTGGAGAAGAGAAGAAGCTGCAGCATTCAGTGGACAGGCAGCCCAGCAGTCTCACAATGACCTCATGGTGAGAGCACATGGGGAAAGCCAGAGTCCAGGCTTCCTTTCTGGGTTTGAGGGACTGTCATACAAGAAGCCAAGAAAACAGGAACAACTGAATACTCAGTAGGCACTTCACATATGAGCACATGTGGCAGATCTAGGAGCAACTGATGATGCAATGGGAAGGTCTGCCAGCCTGATGGTTCCAAATTCTAATGTGCATTAGAATCTCCTAGGAAATGTGTAAAAAGTGCAGATGGCTCAGTGACTCAATGACTTATTCCCAGAGACTCTGATTCCAAAGGTCTGGGTGGACCCAGGAATCTTCATTTTCACAGGCACCCAAAGTTCAGCATTGGAGAATCACTCCACTAAACTGTGAACTCCCAGAGACTTGAATTCAGGGAATGTATCTTCTTCTATGCCCTGTGCAATAACTATCTCAAAGCTGGTGCCCAAGAAATGTTTGCCTTACTGTAAGTATTATTCAACTGTTCGATGAATAATATGATTGTCATACTATTCAGTAGTTTGGTGGCAGAAGCATCAACAATTACTGA